TAGTTTTTATCAATCTCGGCAATTTTCGATCTATTCAAGGGCAAGTAGGCTAACAATAATATAGATTATTCAAGAACATAGCTATGAATATACTCGCACTCAGGCAGCTGTAAGAGGATCAACAGAAATCAACTAAAACCTGGCTACCTTGATCATATCTGCAAATCAACTTTTCATTATGTACGATCTATATTCATTTCATTATCCATGGATGTGTATAATAGTAGGACATTTGAAGTTATAGCTGAGGTATCATGTGATCTTTGCCGTATGCTGGAGCCGACCTTAGTTCAGCACCCTCATCAGCTGGGTCTGGAGACCTGCCTTTCGTTCACATCCCATCTCCATGTTCTGACTCCAAGTGTATGATAGCAACCATGAACCCAGATCGGGGCTCATCTGCACCAATCAATCCAGACACAGGAAGTAAGGCGATTGTAAAAGATCCAGCGACTTCGGAATACGGCCTCACAAGCCCAGGCCGCCAAAAGCCAAAAGCCCCTCCACCCCAGCCTTCGGAGTCGAAGATTGTTCGATTAAAGCTCACAAAACCAAGGCAGCCCAAACCCAAACCCCAAGAAGTGGACTGGGATGAAGATCTTCGCCCTACACCCAATGAAACAGTTGGGAATAAAGGGACCCATGGAGGAACCTCCGTTGCCGATACAGACCCGAGCCGACTGAAGACAGTTGACAGAAAGAAAGGAAGCAAGCGAGCAATGCCACCAAAGCCCCAGACAGCCTCGGTTAAACGCAGGAAATCGAACACGAGGAAGAGCACTACTACCAAAGAGGGCAGCACCAAAGGGCCACAATTGCCATTGAAAACGCTTGCTGCAAGCGTTTTGCCTCCTGCAGCCCCTCTGGATAATAGCAGGCCGTCTGACATGAGCCCTACGGACGGGCGAAGCAAAGATTATGTGACGAAGCGCAATGGAAATGTGCCCGAAGCTTCCCATCAAACTTCGCCACCGAAAGATGGCCACAACAAGCATGGAAATAACAACAAGGGGGATGTGATCGTTGAGATAAGAAGCTGCACATCGGTGACAACTGATTCATCCTCGGATTTCGAAGATCATGGCAAAGGGCCGTCTCGTACTTCGAAAGTTAGCATCCTAGAGCATCGGTCACAGTCCAACGGAGAAACAAATAAAAGCAACCCTGTTCATGTGATGTCCCAGCTATCTTCAAGTTCCGACATCGATCTCAGAGGACCGCCGCGCACGACTACTTCAAAGGTCACCATCCTGGAGTCAAGGGCACTTCGAAAGGGACAAAGCAGCCAAACCAAGGCGGCTCATGAAAAGAGTCGTCCTAAACACCATGGTAGAGCAGAGAGTGTTGGCAACAAGCTGATGCTTGCGCTCCATGGAGCAGAGTCTCCTCAGGATGAACCAGTCAATGATCCAACTGTACCTCTCATCATCTCATCTGATCCAGTGCAACCAGAGGAATCCCCCCCAAAGCAGCAGTCCGATAAAATGCCGATCGAAACAGTGTTGGCACTCCCAGCGATTGAAAGCGTACCGGGCAGAACAATTCTAATTGAAATGCACCAAAACCAAACCGAGCCTAAGACTGTCAATCCAGCATTGATTGCCAAAACCCTTCCGCCCAAAGAAGAGCCGATGCAACAGGCAGATGACGCAGGCTTCTGGAAGCTGCTGGGAGATGACAGGTTGACAACTACAGCGAGCTCTTCAGAATTTGAATCTGGCAGAGGCTTGATGGGGGCCGGTCCTTCAATTCTTGATTACCACATGGAAATGGAACATATCCCCGGATTTGCAACCTTGCAACCTATGAGATCCGAACCAACCGCCTCTTCACACGTCACAAACCTCTGCGAAAGCCAGGCTGATAGCTCGTCAGAGCCGTCAAATGTAGGGAAATTCGATGATCTCACAGCAGGACGGATTGATGGACATGGATCCAGCCATACTCCGGAATCTCAAAAGCGCCTTCTTAATAATGAATCCCTAATGGAACTGAATTCTACGTCTCCCGAACCCCCAAAATCGGTCCCAAAGACCAGCATTGTCGACAGCAATGGTAGTCCTCGACTCATGCCTCAGTCAGCCAAGAGCATGGTTGTGCCTCAGCTTGACCTGGATGGCGAAAAGGCCCACGAAGAGACAACCAGCGTCACCGACATTAGTCCAAGTGAATACGATGGAGACTCGTGTAGTCTTTCCACCGAGAGTAAATATGAAGGGGTCATGTGGACCAAGTTCCAGAGAGACATGTTCCTGGAATACGGGATCCAAACGGAGAAACTGGAGAGATCTCACCAATGGCCGCCGCTGAAAAAGCACCACCCATTGTTTTCTCAGGAGGATACTGCTGATGGGGCCAAATTCGAGAAAGCATCGACGATTGGACGAAGTTCTTCACAGAGAACGCTCGACGAGAGAGCATTAGGTGATGCTCCTTCAAAGAATCATGGGTACCTTGATCAATCATTCCGAACTGATATATCGGCATCAACACAGCCAGCTGGTAAGTCGCATCAAGCATCTACGGTGGACGGTCATGACGATATGGAATGGATATCAACTTTGCAAGTGGCGCAGAAGGACGCACACCACCTGCTTCAACAAACCAATTCGGTTAGTCGAAACTCCTTACTTGAATAGGACCTCGTTAACTAGGATTTAGCATTTGTCCACTCAGCTGGCGGCGGAAAAGGCCACCGTCAGTCGAGTCCTGGAGATCTACCGAGAGGGGTGTAGTCGGATCCTTGATGATCTGTTCGAGGCGCAAGAAGCACGAATACAGCTGTACCGGCAACAAATGCAATCCATCAAGGAACAACATGCAGATATATGCCAAGACCTGGTTCGTGGACTGCAGGAGCTTGATCGTCGAGTGCAACAAGGACCAATCTGAAAGATGGGTGGGCAGAGGGGTGAAATCACAGGTTACATATATTATCTCGAGGGTGACACAAGGCTGAGCAGTATTGCATGCAAGGGATCGGATTCTTATACCAATATCATATGATATTAATATGTTTAAGTCCACATCCACAAATTTTTTTATAAATGGGACCGCCGTGATTGGAACTCCAGCGCCGGGTTAGATTCACCGAGGATCACGTGGAAATCCTTTATACTCTAAAGTGCTTTTGACTCATTCACCAGCTATTTCTTTTTATTTTCTAATTTTTAACAAATTGTTATTCTCTTGTTCACTGCAATTACCTTAATTCCTCTTAGTTGCTCTTCAAAACCTCCCCTTCCCATCTTTACCCTGCCTACCCCTCCTCCGATGTCGGTGAGTCAAGCCCCTCTATTGATTTTAAATTTCACCCTTCTGACGTCGCCAATTCCAGTTCTTCATTGATAACCCTAACGTGGGAAACCACAGCCATTTGGAAGACTCTCGCAGTAAGTCCGGCTCTCATTTTTACTCTTAATTGGTCTCTAACAGCTATAGTTCTCGGCTACAACCCTCTCACCCCTCCCAATCTTCTCCAGCATGAGATCGCATTGACCGAAAAGTCACGACAGACCGTCCTCAATGGACGCAATGAAGCCGTCGAGATCGTCCATGGCACAGATACCAAGCGTCAGCGTCTGATGGTTGTCATCGGACCATGCTCCATCCACGACCCGGAAATGGCCCTCGAATACTGCGATCGTCTACTGAAGATGAAGGAGAAGTACGCCGACGAGCTGCTGATTGTCATGCGCTCGTACCTCGAGAAGCCCCGCACAACAGTCGGCTGGAAGGGCCTGATCAACGACCCCGATATCGACAACAGCTTCCAGATCAACAAGGGTCTCCGCGTATCGCGCCAGCTCTTCGTCGACTTGACCAACAAGGGCATGCCCATCGCCAGCGAGATGCTCGACACAATCTCCCCCCAGTTCTTGGCCGATTGTCTGTCCATCGGTGCTGTCGGTGCGCGTACCACTGAGTCCCAGGTCCACCGTGAGCTTTCATCCGGTCTGTCCTTCCCCGTCGGATTCAAGAACGGTACCGACGGCTCGCTCGATGTCGCTGTTGATGCGATTGGCTCTGTCAAGCACCCCCACCACTTCCTGTCTGTCACAAAGCCCGGTGTTGTCTCTATCGTGGGAACAGTCGGTAACCCTGATTGCTTCGTTATCCTTCGTGGAGGCAAGAAGGGCCCTAACTACGATGCTGCTAGCATCGCGGATGCTAAGTCTAAGCTCAGTGCAAAGGGCATGCGTCCCCGTCTTATGGTTGACTGCAGCCACGGTAACTCTGAGAAGAACCACAAGAACCAGCCTAAGGTCGCTGCTGTGCTTGCTGAGCAGCTTGCCGCCGGTGAGGATGCTATTATGGGTGTTATGATTGAGAGTAACATCAACGAGGGTGAGTCTTTTGCAGATTTTGCTATATATAGAAAGTTGTTTATACTGACCTACGCTAGGCAACCAGAAGGTCCCCGCAGAGGGCAAGGCCGGTCTCAAGTACGGTGTCAGTATCACAGATGCTTGCATCAACTGGGAGGATACCGAGTCAGTATTGGAGACTCTGGCTCAAGGTGTTCGCGCTCGTCGCGAGAAATCGGAAACAAAATAAGCTGTTTTGAGATATTCAAGTTAAATTACGACGGGGCATTTCTTAAGCGTGTCAAAGTGGATAAAAAGTTCAATGATTTTACTTCTTTCGGCCTTGAAGCTCAACACGTTCCACCTTAGGGCAATTTTGCTGCTACGGCTTCCTTTTTTTTCCCTTTTAATATATAGCGAAGTTCCACTTATATTATTGTACATTATACGCATTCTCATTTTATAGTGGAGATATGGGGCCGAAATTAGCCCTATGCCGTCATCAGGGTCCACGGCCACGCACCTCGTTGAAGCCGACCTCGGAACTTGGCCTAAAATCCTTATATATCTTGACTGGAAGATCACTAGAGGAAATAAGAAGAGGAGATGGATCGCATTCGCTATGGAGACATCTTGGAATAATGAAATTACATGCGGGGGAATCAGTTGGATATGCGTCGAGTTGGCATTGGTTCAATTCGCATCAGTTGCATTCTCACTAGTTGACACCCTATTTAATGGTGTGATTGATGTTGTTCTTGAATATCGAGGCATGCTTGCGGGGAGCTCATCGACCCCAACGAACGGCCAAGGGAACTGGTGAATGACGTTGTCTACCAAGGTCACACTCCTTAACATGAAAGCAGGTGTGCAGTCACTATATCGAGAAAACAGATTGTATCCTTTCCTGAGACAGAATAGGCTCATTGCTTCCCGCTTAACCAAGTGGGCGTACTTAAAACCGTCGGGGAAGCCCATGGCAGTGAGTTCCCGATCATCATACTCATTCTGTCCTTGGTAGGAGAATGTCCTAAGAGAAGGATGGGAGCCACGCTGCTTGTGTACCATAAATGTCTCTAATGTTTGAAGTGTTTCCATTTCGAATATAATTGGGTGCGGGGCTCCCCAGAGATCCGGCCGTATGTGAAGGGCTTCGAGAGTGAGTGGCAGTACATCTTGAAGTTCGTAGGGCGTTGTACCCCAGCCGATGAGAAAGTTGAGTGGTAAAGATGCTGTTTTCAGTTTGGGGAACCTCTTCAAGATGCCACGAAATGGCGCACCAGTTTCATCCGCCATACGCAGACGGAAGGTTTCTACACAACATGGGGGAAGCTCCACACTGATAGAAAGGTGTTCGATTGCTTGACCCGAAGTTTCCAAGGAATGAAGGAGGCATTTAGGGTCCCTGAGAAACTCGGCTGTTGCCCGGCATTTGTAGGACATGCCCACATGCAAGGACTCCAGATATGGCACCTGAGACACCAGTGCGGCGATGTCCTCAGGTAAAACACGTGTCTTGGCAATGACAAGAGTGCGCAGGTTTGGCAAATTCAAGGACTTTTTCGGAATCTCCGTAGGGGAGACACAAATTCCCTCCACACCATGGAGCCAAAACTCAAGAATCTTCAAGGAAGGAAGGTGGAACCAGGGGACAAATTGACAAGTTCTGCCGATTCTGATCGGTTCACCGTCGCGGGGCTTTTTGAGAGGAAGATTGCTTCCATAGTCGGCCATTTCTAATTTTGAGAAGCGACTTAATATGCCAGGGGGTGCATTGCCAAAGAGAGAATGATGCAACATCTCCCCAGGAAAGCCCCCTTCAAGCACGAATGAGTAGTCTAGTCGAAGGCTGCGAAGGTTGTGGAGTTGCGAGATCAGCAGTGTGGCGTAGACGTAGGCGTCTCCATCAAACAGTCGTGTGATCCATTTCGTATCGAATTTTGCCGAGAATTTTGCGTCTCGAACAACCTTCCGGGCCCATCTCAAAGTGGGCCTAAACTGTAGCATCATCTTGCCCCAGTCAACTGCTCCTTTGGGGATGCGAAGCTCTGTCCCCTCCTGTGATTCCATATCCCACCATACGAAACTGACATGCCGGATGTAGGAAGCCAACTTTGGTCGCACGGAGATAGTCCGGAGAAGGAGCAAAATTCTATGGATCGGGGGATTCTTCCAGTCCCAGTGGATTGATCGATACAAGAAAGGCTCAGCTGAAACACGGGTGTCGCGAGAAACATGTGACAGGTTATTTAAATCCTGCTGTGGTAGACGCTCTAGTATCTCTAACCAGCAGTCGTGAGGGAGGTTGGCGAGGGGAGTTGAATCCATTGTAGATGGCTGCGAATTTTGTGCAAGAAAGCTAGATGAAAGTGATAAGCATAATTTATTGACACAATCCATGGATATCAACTTACTATCAATTTATGTCAAACGTGGAAGTCGCCTGCAAAAGTCTCTCAAGAGGGACTCTGAAAGGAGAAAAGACAGTGAAAGGTGAGAAGAGGGAAGGAGTAGATGAAGCGGGATAAATAAAAGAGACAGATTGGATGGAAAAGAGTGAGGAGAGAATGGAAGAAGAGAGATGAATGATGAAAGGAGAGAAGAGAAGAGAGGAGGAGGAGGAGAAAGAAGAGGAAAGAGGAAGCGGAAGGAAGCCAAAATCAGCTAAAAGGACATGGGACTTAACATCTGATAATAGTATATATTCACATATATTTTAATACAAGGGAATCTTAAAATCTATAATGCAAGCTGCAAAAGATGAACGCCGAACAGATGGATCCTGATGTATACCATGAACACCAGCAGCACAAGGCTTGACATCAACTCCAGCCGAATAGCGACCAGCACCATATCGACCTGCAAACCCAGTCCTCGCTTCCTCGAACTTCCGTTTCCTAGAAACCCCCAGGCCACCTAGACCAACCCTCGGAACGATACCAAGATCTTTCAACTCCCCATCAGAACCAACACCAAGAGACTGTGTGGGAGCATCACCAATATCAACATCCAAAACAGTGCCTTTTCCATCCTCCCCAAAAGCCCAAACCCTAACTCCACCCTGGGAAGACTGCAAAGCAAGCTCCACAGTCCCCTTGACGGACCCAATCTCCTTGCCATAGATCTTAAACGGCCACATCATAGCCGTAGGACGATAGGAGACCGACAAAAGGAACTCCCAATCCCCATTTTGGTTCTGCACCAGACTCTCACGCCGCTTGCGGGACCGCTCCGAGTCAACGTACCAGTCAAGTGCAAGATCGCTGGCACCCATTATACCGTCACCTTGACGTTCACGCTCTTTGCGGATCACGTTGAATACGTCCAAGGGGATGGAGTACAGCACGAGGCGGTCACCATAGGCTGCGACAACACGGAGACCCCAGCGGAGGTCGGAGCCCGCAGTGAAGGTTGTTGGGATTGGGAGGTCTGCTGGAGGCGGAGTTGTGTTTAAGGGGGATGGGGATGGGGGTGGTGTCTTGGTCTGTCCGTCTTGGGTATTTGAGAACGGCGGCGGAACGCAGACGAATGCGCGGGTTAGGCTTGTTGGCCCGCCGATTGGAGCGTCGGTCCCGATGCATAGTAGCTTTGTGCGTGGCTCGATGAACATGATGTGGAAACCGTCGTTGATGGGGACGGCACGATAGTGGTGGCAGTGTGTTGCGCGGACAAAACTGCGGGATGGGGCGTGGGGAATGCGGCGGCGATTGAAGGACTGGATGTCTGCGAGGAAATGGAATTGGTTGTTTTTTGGGTCGTGTTTTGGGGATGATGTCGAATAGGATGAAGATGAAGGGGAGGGTGAAGGGGGGCATTTGCATTCGTGCAAGCCCGATCCGGATAGTGAGGAAATGAGACGTAGCTCGCTGGGTGTTTCTGAGCTACTTGGAAGGAAATGAAGGATTTCGGAGGGTTGGGGGAGGGTGAAGTGTTTGCGTTGTTCGTTGCGCTTTGTTTCGCTCACGCTGTGGATTTCGATGCCCGCGGCGCAGCCGAAGGCGACAATAGGCCGACCAGGACAGAGGGCAACCGTTCGTGGTGGGTTGTCCACTGTGCAGATGTTGTAGAAGAAGTGGCGGGATGAGGTGGGCATTTTGCTATTGGAGTGAGATCCCTTGGTAGCTGAGTCTTTGGCCCAAGACATATCCAAGTTGCAGATCATGCCGACGCGGTTGCGAAGCAATGCAGCGATGGTGAACTGGGGCTTGCTGGTATCTATGGCGGCCGAAATAATATCGAACGGACATGAGATACGCGAGACAAGCGCCAAGTTATCATCGCTAAAGTTTGTTGCAGATGTTGGCCTAGACTTTCGACCCGAAAGACAATAAATATAGATCATACAGCCTGTCGTCACGAGTAGATAGTTGCTGCAACTGCTAATGCTGAAAGTTGACACCCCGGACCCTTTGCCTTCGGTCATCTGCAAAACTGACTGAAGTCGAGTGCGGCGGGATGTTCTTGTAGAACCAGAGAGACTTGAAAAGTCTACCACCGCTGTAGTCAAAAAGCCCGACTTCTCGACATTCAACTTCCGCCCAGAAAGGAGACATTCTGTCGCAAAGCGGCGGCTCATTCTCCAGACCTCGCTCTCATCTAACCGGGAGATGCGTGGCATTTGGCAGTCTTGCAACCATGCGTCCCACCACCCTGCTCTTTTAAGCATGTTTTCAAGTAGCCTGTGGTTCAGGCTAGTCCGCATCCACTGTGAGCATGTTCGCCGGGCATTGTCGAAGTCCCGCGGTGTCAGCATGGAGAAAATATCCAGTAGGATCTCAGCTGGTGCAATATTTGCAGCGGGAGGGGACGATTTGCTCGTCGAATTGCATTTCGAGGGTTGTTGACCCTGTAACATGTACCTTGTCACAGACCTATTCAAATTCGAGGGTATTGCCCTCGTCGACCTTCGTTTGGTGTGCGTGATGGAGGCATTCGTGGACATTTGATGGGTCCAGTCTTGACTAGCAGACCGCAGCGCAGGCATGCTGATATACCCTTCTAGCAAAGGTAATGATCGGATTTTCACCACTGGATCCCAGTCTCTTGTTCAATTCCAGCACATGGCTTGGAAATTGGGAAATTTGAATTTGTATCAAATGTGAATTTGACGGCAATTAATCGATTGGTGCCCAGAACAGAAGTGCCTTAAGCAGTTGAAATACACCAAGTAGCAAGATCCAAGATCACAATTGAGTGACGCAAAGACCCGAGGAAAAGAGATCTCTCTAGACAACCAAGTCTTCACAGCACTAAGTGTTCAGCTGAGGATGAATCGTCTAGAACACTAGTAAGCCCACTGATCTGCAATCTCTCGAGCCCGAACTTCCAGTAATTTTAATTCAAAAGAAGAAAATCCACTCACTTTTAAGAAAGGTCTATACACAGGTCCACGATAATAGAGTTTGAATGAAGTACGTGCTAAGTGCAAGGTTGTATTGGCCTCACGTCTGAAAGCGGTGCAGCGACGGGAATTTGATACGACAAAATGAAACCCGAGAGATTCGAGGGCGAGGCAAGGGCTGACTTGTTTAATTAAATACTGCACCTCACCATTTCCAGAAGCGATAACTAAATCAACTAAGTTTACCGGCTGGTTAATTTCAATTACAATTTACCGTTCTGACGTCGACACTTCGACAAAGTAGACGGAGTTTAGGGCACCTGAGATGTACCTCGCGGAAATCCGACAAAAAGTGGACAAAAAGTGGAAAAGTGGATCACGTCAAGACACATGTAAGAAACGTATCTACCTATTTAGGTAGATGATTAATACTGGTACAATTACAATCAGTGTAGTCATGCATTAAATGCAGCTACTGTCATTCCATATTGGAATGGACTGGGGAGCTGGAGGCAACGGGGTTTAGGCTTTGAGGATCCATGGGCCTAACTACTAAGCTTAACTTTATGCATCGACTTATTCCCTTCCCTTCCACGGTTCAATTCAATCATCGTAGCAGCCCTAGATCCCGGTTACAATCAAAGAAACCTCCCCTTCAATGTTCAAAAGGAACCGAAAACCAAAAAAACCCACTATCAATCTGCAACATTGACATTCCAGAGGATCTCGGGGGAAGAAAATTAAGGAATGCGCCCCGGATGCAGTGCATGGCTTGGCACTTATCGAACCTCACCGCTTACATGCATGTCTCTAATCGTGTGATGATCATAACAAGAAGACTATACTAAGATCCCTGAACAATCAGTATTTAGTTCAGTGTATCCCACATTCCTCAACGGCCAAGAATACTTTGTTTTGTCTCTGTTCTTTTCTTACTGTTTCATCTCCTCACCGCAAGAGAGACAACTGTGCCATCCCCCACCGCTCAGGAATGCGCCCCGACCATGTGGACCCCAGGGATTCCAGAAGACGGTGATTCCGTAGGTGTTCGAGGTATGTCCGCACTGGAGTTTAGATCGAACCGAATTGTGAATTTGGATCGGATGCAAAGATGGGTTATTGGACAAAAAATGTATTGTTTTCATATCGATGTCTATAGATCACAATTGTGATGTAGCCCCTAGCAGAATGATGTTTCAGGCCGCCTCATTGAAGTCGAACCCTTTGCCCGCACTTTTTTCTTTGGAAAATCGTGGCAAGTCGCGTACATCCAAATACTTCTGCATTTGATGTAGAAGAAGCATGCGAGTTCAGTTTTCTCACCCGCTCTTTCTTCGGTTAGACCGTGTATTGACTTCGTGCTCAGACACTGCCACGTTTCCCGCGGGCTTATTTTGGAACTGAGGAATGTGAGGAAAGAGTAATACTTAGCGAACCCGATTTGGATCTTTACCGAGGAATCCTAGATACGAGATATGCCGCGGTTGGAGCCTGGATTGTGTTCGAAAGTCAACCGCTCACGCCTGATCACGCCTGACGGGTAGAAAGTGACAAAATTCAGGAATCATCAGTATCATACAGAATCTATACTCTACTTTGACATAAACACTGAAATACATAAACGAAAGGATTGAAAAATTGAATAACAAAAATATCAATTACTGCATGGGAGGGGAATAGCGAGGGACAGGCGAGACGAGCCCGACAAAAGGAAAGCCAATATGCCACACAAGGATATCATAACCATGAAAACATATCAGAACAAGATAGTGAAATGCGAAGGTATCAAGATCGTAAAACATGATGGGTCAAAGACATATGCAGGAGAAAAAAATGTGTATTGTCAAACGGGACAAGGGTAGATCATGCGAAGCTAGAATCCGCACAACCGGCGAGATCAAACGTTCGGTGTCTGATGAGCCTCGAAAGTGGACGCACCATTTCCATTGCCTCGAGCAGGGTGGTGACCGGGAAGCCAGGCGGCATGCAGCGGGACAATCAAGCTCGGGTTGACGTACTTCTTCAGCCGCAGCCCAAGGTCCTGTCCGCCAATACGTATCGGAAGGCTATCGCGATCCATGCCTGATGGCGGTGAGAGGCTCGATGAAGGCGATGGGGAGATGTCGCCACCACCCGGCTGGTCCCGATTGATACTCTTGAGGGCAATGAATTTCATCAAGGGCTCGTATGTACGCCCAAACCAATATGAAAACCAAACGGTGAAGCCTAGAAGTGGCACCAGGAGTAGAGACCGGGTGATGGCTCGGCGCAGAGCCAGAACGCCAATCATGGCCAGCTGGTGAACCAACAGCCCCACGAATACGCGGTTGCAAATCATTGGCCATGCGCGACCCGTGGAATGTTGCTGGTGATCCATGGCATACAGCAGTTGGTATTTGTAGATAAATTTGCCGACTGTGAAGTAAATCAGGCCGAATAGGCAGATCAGCCACGAGCTCGGGAACACACTGTAAACCACGCAGATAACCAATATCAAGATGGTTTGGGGGATGGAGAACCCGTAGCTAAACTTGGGAGGGGTTGACAGCTCCGCATATTCTCGAGGCGTGCGGGCAGACAGGAAGTGGAAGGGGTATAGTGCGACACTTCCAAATTCAAGGAGTCGGAAGGGGAAAAGGCCCAACCCCTGAAGAATCAACAGGTTGATGTAGAATGGAGCCAGGCCTTCGAGGGAATTGGCTAGTGCGAGGGCAATCGTTGTAGAATCTTTGAATGCATCCCGAAGGCTTTCCCAGAACCCATAGAAACCACTTGCTGTTCCGAACACAGTGAATAGAAGGAACAGATTGAAGAACGAGAAGAAGAAGTTCTTGGAGATAACGGACAGCTCAACATCACCACGTGACATCATTCCTTGGTTATTTGAGAGCCCTGCAAAGAGGATCAGTGATTTGAACGACTACAAGAAGGGGAATGTTGAATGGGAAAACTTACACTCATACAGATAAGGCACAGCTACCGTCAACAGAGAGAATGCGAGGGTAGGCAATCCCGTTTGAACCAACGACTTGATGATCGGATGCTCCTGGAGGAACTCGGCCAGCCGGGGGACAATCGTCTCAAGAGTCTTCAGCTCCAGCAATGAGGCAATAGGTACCAAGAGCACAGACCAAAACACGGTGAGGAATGCTATAACGAAGGTGATGGACCATGACTGAACCATTCGTCGAGTACGAGACAAGTAAGTATTTTTCCAAATAACATCTGCCGGCGCCGGTGCAAGTCGAGCAAACATTTGCATTGGGTGCGGATCAAGGATCGCCTGAACAAGCATTTGAGATGCGGCGATTGACTCCATCGTGACGAAAGCAATCTCGGTACTAAGATATTCTTTCTCTCGGGCGTTTTGAATATGTTCATCAATCTTCCGTAGCTTTTCCTCATAGTAATCGATTGCATCGATCATGCGGAAACGAAGCTTGAATGGACCGTACCAGATACGAACCTTGGGTCTTTCATTCGCATAACCTGAGACATCCTCGTTCTCGTGTCCGGACAGGAGCCCGGACCGTTCATCGTCTGCATCACGGGGTTGTTGTTCGGTCAGCGGCAACGTATTTCCATCGCTCTTTGGGCGCTTGTATCCCATGTGCTTTGTCCATGCTCTCTCAAGTTCACGGATCACTTTCATTCTCTCGTCGATCAATTCGTCTAGCTCACGCCACTGTCGGCATACCGTGATACTCTCAACATTGCCGACTCGCAGGCCTTCCACAAATTCTTTGATCTTATCTTCGGTCCCCAAGTCGTGTGGGATCCCGGACAAGCGAATGGTGCGATCAGTGGTGCTAGTCTGATTCCCGAGATAGGTTTGTCGAGTGCGGATGATTACCTTTGTCTCATCAAGAAGCATGTAGATGGCCAATCCACTGAAGACATATGCGAACAATACATAAATCCACAGATATGCAGGGTCTGTAACTGGCTTTTCCTTTTCATTTCCGCCCATTGGACTCATGGTCTTATTGCCAGGGACGTTATCCCAGCCAGGAACTCCGTATTGGCCGGTGTATTTGTAATGCATAGGGAGGATGATCGCAACAGCGAAGATAAAGACAGCCAAGAGGAACCGGATCGCAAACTTGAAGAAAGACAAGAACTACCCAGAGACTCAAGTTAGCAATGGTCTATTGTCTGGCAGAGAAGCCAAAGCAGTTGAACATACCACATATGCATCTAGGCCCGCAGACTGCAGCACTTCCTCTTCTGTAATCTGATGGAGAACGGGAATCCAACCAAAAAGGGTGTCCGGAAGTTCAGGTAACTGCGAGGCAGCGTTTCTTTGTCGTCGTCGCGCGGCATATAACTCTGTCCATTTTGGCCGCAAGATCTAGAAATGAAACTATCAGCGATGAACAAGACCCACACCTCATAGTGACAGAAACACATACACAGAATGTCAAAAAGGCGCTGAGACCCAGCGCGGAGCTAATCACAAATTGCGTGTACAGATCGCGCTGTTCTTTTAACTGGTCATCCCACCGCCTCTTGCTTCCATCATCGGGTTTATCGGCAAGCAAGGTCAACACAGCGGAGGTCGCTGATGCCGTAAGAGACATGACTCTGTTTTATAAGGGGTC